TTCTTTCTTTCACTTTCTCTCTTTCTCTCTTTCTTTCTTTCCTTGTTTTCTTTTCTTTTCTTTCCTTTTTTTTTTTTGAGACAGGATCTCACTCTGTAGCCCAGACTGGAGTGCAGTGGCACCATCACAGCTCACTCTATCCTCAAACTCCTGGGCTCAAGTGAGCCTCTTACTTCAGCCTCCCAAATAGCTTGGACCACAAGTATACACAACTACACTTGGATAATTTTTTTAATTTTCATTTTTTGTAGAGACAGGGTCTCACTATGTTGACCAAGCTGGTCTCTCAAATTCCTGGGCTTACGCAAGCCTCCCGCCTTGGCCTCCCAAAGTGTTAGGATTACAGGTGTGAGCCGCCGTGTTTGGCCTAGTGGTTTCTTTTCTATCTCTATTGCACTAAGCATGTGGCAGGTGTTGGGTTCACAGTAGATACTCAATAAATACTTGATTGATCAAGTTAAGCTTTTAAAGTTCTATAAATTGAAGTAAATTTAAAGTGACATTTGCTTTTTAATGAGGGATCTGTATTTCATAATAGCTTAGGACCATTCCTGGCACAGAACAGAAACTCAGTTTATATTGAATGGATGAATGATAAAACATAGAGGCAGCTCCTGTCAAAGGCTGAGCACATCGACTGCGGCAAATTCATTTCAGCCATGAAAGCCCAGAGGCATATTGCCATCCTGAGAAGTAAGTCCTCACACCTGGCATACTAAATCATACTAAACCATACTAAACCTGGCATACTAAGTGCTGGCATCATGGTATGCTGGCCTTTTAGTTTACAATCAAGAGTCCTCAAGAATAGCTTCATCAGGGATGGGAGACCAGATATTGGAATAATTGTAGAAAGTTATTGATAAAAAGGGCTGCCAACATGGAATCAACCCAAATGCCCTTCAATGATAGACTGGATAAAGAAAATGTGGTATGTATACACCATGGAACACTACGCAGCCATAAAAAGGAGTGAGATCATGTCCTTTTCAGGGACATGGATGGAGCTGGAAGCCATCATCCTTGCAAACTAACACAGGAACAGAAAACCAAACACCACGTGTTTTCACTCATAAGTGGGAGTTGAACAATGAGAACACATGGACACAGAGAGGGGAACATCACACACTGGGGCCTGTGGGGAGAGGCAGATGGAGGGAGAACATCAGGAAGAATAGCTAATACATGTGGGGTTTAATACCTAGGTGATGGGTTGATAGGTGCAGCAAACCACCATGGCACACATTTACCTATGTAACAAGCCTGCATGTCCTGCACTTGTGTCCTGGAACTTAAGGTAAAATTAAATTAAATAATAAAAAAAGGGCTGCCAAGTAAGCCAGTAGATATTTAAGACAATGAAACTATGAACCGTATTTCTTAAAATTTATTAAAGTGTTGAAGCCCTCAAATTCACTCATTCATTTGCTTACTCATTCGGTATTTATTGAGCATCTACTATGTAGCATTTACTGTTGAATTAAAAAGAGGAAAAGCATAGAGCTAATCATTTATATAACTTATTTTAAAAAGCAAATTATGATATTGGTAGTATCAATGGGTTGATTGAAACGTCAGTTAATTTACTGAGCAACCACTGTGGTAAAGCGTTGTTAATACTTTCTTATGAAGACGGGCTCAACTGATTGCTTATTCATGCAGAAGTAGCAACATCCACTGATGTTCAAGGAACCAGTGAGTAGATCTCCCACACATAACTTGCGCTCCTGGATCTCAGGGTGGCTGATCCAACATAAAACACCTGAAGTTTTTTTGTGTGTGGCGTCTCTGTATTTCCACAGTTCCTTGCACAGAATTATCTTTGTCCATTGTAGGCATTTGGTTAATGTTTATTACATTACATTTCAGAATTTGGGAGAAAGTTTGTGTGTGTGTGTGTGTGTGTGTGTGTGTGTCTTGCTCTGTCTCTCAGGCTGGAGTGCAGTGGCGTGATCTTGGCTCACTGAAACCTCTGCCTCTTGGGTTCAAACAATCTCTTGCCTCAGACTCCTGAGGAGCTGGGATTACAGGCATACGCCACCATGCTCGGCTAATTTTTGTATTGTTAGTAGAGACAGGGTTTCACCATGTTGGCCAGGCTGGTCTCGAACTCCTGGCCTCAAGTGATCTGCCCACCTCGGCCTCCCAAAGTGTTGGGATTACAGGCGTAAGCCACAGCGCCTGGCTGCTTTTTTAATCTAATAAAAGTCATGAACTGGAAAAGGCAGATTATAGATTATAGCCCATCATCAAATAGTTGTTGGAAAATCTATACAGAAAAAATGACCCCTGAACTTTACAGGTAGGATTTTATCCTACAGATATTCTTGCACCTATGGATTTTCAATTAATGGCTGTTTGTAAGATAACCACAGAATGTAGCAATCACATGTCCAGATAGGGGGTTGGCTAAATTAATGGTGGGAATTCCATGCAACGGAATATTCTGTAACTGTTAAAAACGATGAGATGGTTTTTGTGTCCTGATATGGGGGGATCTACAAGGTATGCCAGCAAGTGGAAACAAACAGGGTACCGAACAGAAGAAATGAAGCAACTGTCCAGCGTTCCTTATCCTCTATGTGTTTATTTGTATAGTCTCTCTGGAAGGATGCCTGGAAATCTGGTAGCAAGTGTTGCTTCCTTCCTGCAAGGGGATTTTTGAGTTAGAAATGGGATTTACTTTTCGTCTTTTTTCTGAGACAGGTTCTTGTTCTGTTGCCCAGGCCAGAGTGCAGAGGCGTGACCACAGCTCACTGCAACCTCTGCCTCCTGGGTTCCAGCAATTCTCCCACCTCAACCTCCCAAGTAGCTGGGACTACAGGCATGTGCCACCATGCCCGGCTAATTTTTTGTGTTTTTAGTAAAGATGGGGTTTCGCCATGTTAGCCAGGCTGGTCTTGGACTCCTGGCCTCCAGTGATCAGCCCGCCTTGGCCTCCCAATGTGCTGGGGTTATAGGTGTGAGCGACCTTGCCCAGTCTGATTGTTTTTTTTAGACTATTCTAATCAATTAACTGCTAAAATGTCCAAAGTCACTTGATGTTTTCCCAGATGACGTTTGATGCAGGTAAAAATGAGACCACAAAAATATGAGTCATTCTCTAGCAGGAAAATTTATGAACAGAAGATGAAAATAATTTTTGCCCATATCAAATTACAGTTGGGTTTTTTTGTTACTTTGGAAGCTTGTCAGCCTGGAGCATGACTTGCTTTCTTCTCATTACTTGCGTTCTTCCTCCCTGCCTGCTTCCCTTCTTCCTCCTGTTCTCCCCTCCTCTCTCAGCTCTCCTCCCCTCCCTTCAGGTTTTCCTTTTAGTCTTGCAAACGCTTTCCCCTTTTCCACCTTATCGTCACTTGCACATTCTCTTTTCTATTCTCCTAGCCTTAGCATTGCATGTGTCTTCTGTAAGGAGGAACAGTTTTTGGTTTTATTTTGTGTTGTTAACTTTTTTTCTTTTTCTTTTTTTTGTTTTTTAAATAGAGATGGGGTCTTGCTATGTTGACCAGGCTGGCCTCAAATTCTGGCCTCAAGTGATCCTCCCACTTCGGCCTCTCAAAGTGCTGGGATTACAGATGTGAGCCACCATGCCTGGCCAAGAGGAGTGTTTTATACTGAAAATGTGGACAGCTTCTCTGTTAAGTGCACAGCGAGGGACCGGCAGCTTCTGGCAGAGATGCTGTAATGTCAGTGCTGGCATTGGCACCTGTGGCTTTGGATGCTCCGTGCGAGGGAGGTGGACCCTGCTGTGTAGAGCTGTGAAGAGCTGACCTTGAGCCCTTTTGTGGGGTGCCAACACTCTGGGTTCAACTCCAGTAGCCTGACCGCTAGAAGCTACCAATATTTAGAAAAACAGGCACATCAAACAGAGAACTCCATAAAGCAGCTATTGTTTAACTTTCTATGTGATGGAGGCCTTCTAAGTGTGGAAGGGACTGCTGCCAGGATTGTGCTGGGCGGCAGGCCTGGGCCAGGACCACCCAGCACCTGGGACTGCGATCACCCTAATCATAAACATACTGCACAAAGGGACACACTTACCAGTGGTGTCGCTGTGGCCCTGTGGATACACACCTGCAGAAAAGAGAGGAGAGCATCACGGCTCGAGTCCTAGAGGTCCTAGATCCTCATGAAGCAGGAGAAACTCGGCACAGCTCGGCTCCCATCTTAGCACCCTCGGAGACTCATGGCTGGCGTAACCAGACTCGTTTTAGCAAAGAACAAGCAGGGTAGCTCACTGAGGTGCTGGCCACACTTAAGAATCAGATGAGCTTTAGAGAAGGTCCACGTTACCCACAGCCCCTCCATTCCACAGACCCTGGCCCCAGACTGCAGGCAGCTTCCACCACCTCCTACTGCGGGAGGGCACAGATGCCACTCAGAGTCCCAGCACGGGCTCTGCTGTGCGGGTGATAAGGCTGGCCCTGTCACATCTTGGCGGGTGGGCTTGTTTTTCTAGTTGCCCCAGCCACAGAGAAAGCCACGGAGAAAGAGGCCAGGCCAGGAGGCTGTGGCTGGTGGCCGGGGGCAGCAGGCTACCCAGTGAATCCCGACTTTGGGTTGACGGTCTAAAGCCGCCTTGTGCTGGATCTCAGCCCCGATCTCAGAAGCAATAGTGAGAAATGGACCTCTCCTGGGGCAAAGCGAGTGCTAACCTGGCGGCTGCTGGGAGGCGGATGCCGTGAGTTCCCAGGTCTTGGCTGTTGTCTGGGAGGGGCCGTGGGAGGACTCATGACTGCCCAGCTCTGTGGTTCCTGTGGAAGGTGATGTGGAAGGCGTCAGCCGGGAGCTCGGGACAATAGCTGCTGTTGTGGCCGCTGTGGTGTTTGAGCTGGGAGATGAAGCTGCGGGCTCTGCAGGAGAGGCCAAGGCAGGGAGAGCATCAGTGTGCAGACTGCCCTCCTCTCAGCTGCAGCACGGGGTGATGTGGGCGCTGCCGTAGTGAGTCACCCTGGCCAGCCCTCCCTCTCCCACAGCAAACTGCTCCTTAAGAGGGTGACATAGCTGTTCCTCTGGAAGGGCCATAGGACCTGTGAAAACACTGAAGAACATGGCTACTATCACGGCACGTGTAAAGAAAAGATCAGCCAGACACAGTGGGTCATGCCTGTAATCCCAACACTTTGGGATGCTGAGGTGCGAGGATCGCTTGAGTCCAGGAGTTTAAGACCAGCCTGGGCAACATAGCAAGACCTTATTTCTTTTCTTTCTTTTTTTTGAGATGGAATCTTGCTCTGTCATCAAGGCTAGAGTGCAGTGGCATGATCTCAGCTCACTGCAACCACTGCCTTCTGGGTTCAAGCAATTCTCTCTGCCTCAGCCTCCCGAGTAGCTGGGATTACAGGTGCGCACCACCATGCCCGGCTAATTTTTGGATTTTTAGTAGAGATGAGGTTTCACCATGTTGACCAGGCTGGTCTCAAACTCCTGACCTTAGGTGATCCACCCACCTCGGCCTCCCAGTGTGCTGGGATTACAGGCGAGAGCCACTGTGCCCTGCTGCAAGACCCGGTTTCTACAAAAATAAGAATAAAAATAAATTATCCAGGTGTGGTGGGCGTGTGCCTATAGTTCCAGCTATCTGAGAGGCTGAGGCAAGAGAATCACTTTAGCCTAGGAGTTTCAGACTGCAGTGACCACTGCACTCTAGCCTGGGGGACAGAGTGAGACCCCGTCTCTTCAAATAAAAGGCGGGGAGGGCAGGGGGTGGGTGGGAAGAAAAGAAAAGGTGTTAAAGATCTGAGTCGTTCAGCTTGTTTACTAGAGAAGGCAGGCCCAACGTCGGAGGCTCAGCTGAAAGCAGGTGAAGCTGCGTTGGCCGAGGATGCTCGGGGCGGCTGAATGTGAAACACGTGAAGCCTGGGCTCTGGCCTGAACTCTCCGGGCTGTGTTGGAGGAAAGCGTCCTGATGAGCTCGCTATCAGGAACGGAGGCTGCCTTGGGTTCAGTGTTTTCCTTGTCTTCTTTATCCTTCCCCGGAAGGTGGCTGCCCCTGCACTGTAAAGGTACTGTTCCCTCTCCATGAAAAACATGTCTTCCGTTGTGACAGCTACGGAATTTAGCAAATGTGGGGCCAAGCGCTGTGGCTCTCTGGATGCACTGTTGTTGCTGCGTTCCCGTGGTCTCCCAGCCACACAGGTCATGAGAAGTCCTCACATCCCCTTAATCCTTTGTCACCACCTCGCATACAACTTGCCCCGCCCTCACTGCCAACGCTCCAGGGCTCCCTGCAGACAGGGCACACCACAGCGTCCTCAGCCAAGTGCCCACGGTCGTGCCAGCTCAGGTCAAAGGCTGCTGTCATGTCGGAGCTTCTGACTGCACAGTTGTGTCTCGACAATGGCCATCGGACCAGGCATTTGGGATGTGAGAGTGGGGAGGATGGGAGAGGCTTATTGGATCATTCTCCTCCTTGGGTTAACGAGGTGTGACTCAGATCAAAGGGGTTGTAGAATTACCTCAAGTTTAAATGGAGTCAGCCTCTCAACCCCTTCCTCCCTGTGCAGGTGACTCACTAGGAGGGAACCTTGTTTAGCTGCTTCTTCCTCCCTTAAGCTGCAGGCCTCAGCCTTGGCCACTTAAGAACCACCTGGGGGCCAGGTGCAGTGGCTCATACCTGTAATGCCAGCACTTTGGGAGACTGAGGCTTGCGGATCACCTGAGGTCAGGAGTTTGAGACCAGACTGACCAACATGGTGAAACCCTGTCTCTACTAAAAATACAAAAATTAGCTGGGCGTGGTGGTGCACGCCTGTAATCCCAGCTACTCGGGAGGCTAAAGCAGGAAAATCACTTGAACCTGGAAGGCAGAGGTTGCAGTGAGCCAAGATTTCGTCTCTGCCCTCCAGACTGGGCAATAAAGCAAGACTCCATCTCAAAAAAAAAAAAAAAAAGATCCACCTGCGGCTGGAGAGCAGTGATGTCCAGCTTGCACCCAGGCCAACGGGAATGCTCAGATGTTAGTGCGTATCCACGGCTGACAACCGACACTCTGCAAAGGATGGCTGCGTTTTGTAGTATGAATGACAACAGACAGGCCCATCCCTGGGAGCAAAGGAGTAGGCAGGGGCCAGGGACAGCCACAGGCTGGACGATGCAACACTAAAGCCAAGAGTGAACTGTAACATGAAGGTATCATAGCATGCAGGGCAGAGGATCCCAAGAAAGCATCCAAGATTTCAAATTTTCTGAACACTGAGAAAGTGCTGAGGAAATCGGTCCTGACAATCTCCAAAGACTCTGTTGAAGCCTGGGACACTGGCAGCTTCAGGCAATGCCTCTACAATAGAGCAGTCACCGTGATGTGCTGGTGTTTAGGTCTGGGTGGGGGGCAGCTCTCCACGGGTCTCTGACGTTTCTGCACATCTTGTAGACAGGGGAGCTGACTGCCCTTTCTCTGGACTATCCTCTCAAGGGTGCTTCTATAGCAAGCGCCTTGCAAGATAGGGACATGGTCTCCCCTGGAGCAGAGAGCAGGCGTGATTACTGCCCATGACAAAACGCTTGGGTCTCCAAAGCCGGGGCTTCCTCTCCCACAGTGCAGCCCGCTGAGCGGACAGGCATCTGTTGAGGCCCAGCTGTGCTGTCCCTGCTGGCTAGGGGGCGAGGGAATTGATGCAAACATGCTGAAGCTCCCGCTGCTTGCTGGCCTCCCATCCTGGAGTGCCCTCGTTTCTGCCAGCACCCATGAAAATGTTGAGGGCTGAGACACGTGCAACCTCAAACCTCAGTCTACTTTCAGTTCTTGAAGGTAAGTGTCTACAACTAAATATGATATGACATATTAGTGAGTTTTAAACCACTATTCATTCTGCACATATAACACCTGGATATCAAGCAACCTTGATTTGAAAAAGAAAATTAAGCTGGACGTTCTTATTCTTGATTGAATAAGACATTTGTGCTATTGCCTAAGTCTGCAGTGGCACACCACGGAGGTCCATGAGTCTGCAGGCTTGGTGATGGGGGCTTTGGGTGTTGGGAGGGGATAAATGTCCTCAAGGAGTTTCTGACCTTCCTACCTTTTCCAGAAGGGGAGAGGCTCTCTGGCTGTGGGGTCACCCCTGCCGTCGTTACTGTGAAGGGTGGCGCTGGCCTTTGGCGAGCCAGGAGAGGGTCTCCTAGAGAGAGGATAACCACATGGCACTTATGATCCTGAGCCTGGAACCTGGGCTAGCCTCAGAACTGGATACAAATAAAATGTATTAACACATGAACTTACAGTGGAGGCATGAGAAACAATGTTTCCTCACCCAAATGCAAAGACAGACTGCAAACTATTTTTCTTGCATTTCCGAAAAGACTGCACAAGTTAAATATCAAATTTATTTTGGCTGAGATGATATTAATGATATCAATTCAATTTTATAATAATGGCTATTCTCGGGAAAATAAATGATCACTCAATAGATTCTATTTTGTTTGTTTGAGACAGAGTCTTGCTCTGTTGCCCAGGTTGGAGTGCAGTGGTGTGATCACAACTCACTGCAGCCTCGACCTCCCGGGCTCAAGAGATCCTCTTGCCTCAGTCTCCTGAGTAGCTGAGACTACATGTACATGCCTCAATGCCCAGGTAATTTTTATTTTTTTATTTTTAAAATTTTTTTTTGGTAGAGACAGGGTCTTGCTATGTTGCTGAGGCTGGTCTTCAACTCTTGGTCTCAAGCAATCCCTCCCACCTCGGCCTCCCAAAGTGCTGGGATTAGGGGTGTAAGCCACCATACCTGGCTTACATTTCGCTTGTTTAGCAGGAAAAAAAAATCATTCAAAGCACAAGAGGTTGGGAAGCATCACAGAGGGAGTCGTGAGTGATCAGAATGCGGAAGGATCTTTGGACTAGGTGAAAGCTAAAACGGCATCCAGTCTTTGGGCTTTAAAACCCTGATTCTGGGTTCTCTTCTTTCCTCTCCTATCCTGACCCTGTTTGGAGCCCACAGCTCTTCTCCATCCCACATTCATTTGCCCAAAGCACATGGAGCATTGAGGAGACCTGACTTTCCCCTGCGGTGAGAAAGCCCTTATTTTATCCCCGGCTTACAGGTTCCAGGGAGTCCCAGGACTGGCAGGTTAAGACCCACCATGGTTCCCACAGATCCTGCTCTCCCCGCCACGCTCAGCTTTCTCATTCACTCACTGATGCCACACGGTGCTGTGTCCCCAGCGAGCGGTTTCTCAGAACAAGTCGGAGTCTTCCTCCCTGTCCTCCCTCTGCTGCCTGTGGGACTCGCTCTGTTCTGGGGGAGGAGGCTGAGCCCGCACTCCCAAGCCAGTGGCAATGTTCAGCGCCTCACAGAGCTCCCCTCTGTCCCCGACTGCAGAGGGCGGGAGCGATGGGGTCGCTCCATGCAGGGGCGCGCTCATCCCTGCCCCAGAGATGAGCTGGGGAAGCAGAGAAACCTGCCCTCAACGTTTGTCAAATGGGAATTCTCTTGGAAGCCCCGGGGTTAATTTTTTATTTTTTCCAGAAGGAGGAAGAGGGGGGCAGAAGCGGGCCTGAGTGTTCCAGAAACAGCCCCAAGTGGCTCCCACCCGAGGCGGTTTGGCCGCTTCTGGGATGTTTATCCAGGTGCAGAGAGTTAAAAAAAGTCGATTCTTGCCACCTTCCCACCCTCCTGCTGGACACCGTGCACAGCTGACTGAGCACAGGGCAGCCCTGCTGCAGGGCCTGCGCCCATCCCCGTGGCTGGGTAATGAGCGAGGAGCAGTGATGGCTTCCAACATCCACCTTCTCATGAGAAATCCCAAAATTTCGCACACTAGTGTGCTCGTGAGTGCCCACCCAGCTCTGCAGCCAAATTCTCTTGCCAGCATCATCTCAAATCAAAGCACTACATGTAATAAGAGTTAACAAGTACCAGGGTTCACGCCACCCTCCCACAGCCCGCAGTGTGGATATCAAGTCCGTTTTCCAGATGACCAGCCAGAGTGCCAGAACGTCACAAGAGCCGCCCAAGGCCTCCTGGGTGGTAGGCGGCAAAGCCAGGATTGAAACCGAGAATTCTGTGACCCCAGCACCTGTGTATTTCCAACGTCAGGAGCTGTTGCTGAGGATCCCACTGGTGTCTTTTTTTTTTTTTTTTTTTTTGAGATGGAGTCTTGCTGTGTCACCCAGGCTGAAGTGCAGTGGTGTGATCTCGGCTCACTGCAACCTCTACCTCCCGGGTTCAAGCAATTCTCCTGTCTCAGCCTCCCGAGTAGCTGGGATTACAAGCACATGCCACCATGCCCGGCTAATTTTTGTATTTTTAATAGAGACAGGGTTTCACCATGTTGGCTAGGCTGATCTGGAACTCCTGACCTCAAGTGATCCTCCCACCTCGGCCTTCCAAAGTGCTGGGATTACAGGTGTGAGCTACCATGCCCGGTCCCCACTGGTGTCTTTAGCCTCAGACCTCAGCATAGATCCCTTGACCCCTGAGATGGTATCTTCTCTCTGTGCAGCCTTGGCGGGGTGGGGGAGGGAGGAGGGCGGGGTGGCCTGGGCTACTCACTAATGCATTTGAGACTGGGAGTTGTCCAGTGAGCGATGTTCGTGGCCTTGTTCAGCACGCACTCAGTCAGGCTGGACGTGCCGGCTTTACGCTTGAAACCGGAGTTACAAATGTACCGCTCCCTGGAGTACAAGCTGTAGCTCTTGACCCGGATGTCTGCGTGTTCCACGGACACTGGGGGAGGGCACGTGATGCCTGCAAAAGTGCAGAGGACAGGGGAGGGTGAAGAGGTTTCCACTTGTAAGACGCGTTCTCCAGGCACACGCGGCGGTAGTCAGTAACTTTAGGGTTAGGTCCAGCTTATCCTAGGGGTGCCTTAGGAAAAGCCCCAGGTGCCAGGCACATGGAGGATGTGCAGGAAGGGCATCCGTCACCCAGAAGCCTTCCCAGAGCCTCACCTGAAGTGCCAGTCAGTCAGCAAAACTAGAGATGGGGGCGTGGGGAGAGGGTCATCGATGAAACGCCGTCTCCCTTCATTTCCCACCCCTCTCCAAGCCCTCAGTATCTCTCAAAAGTCTTCATCTCTCTCCACTGTGGACATAGCCTCCAATTCTCACTGAACCACAGCAACTGCCTCCAGATGGGCCCCCTGCAGGCTCTCCCACAGGCCTCTGCGGCCAGCATCACCTTTAGAAATGCATCTTTGAGCCTGGCCAACATGGTGAAACCCTATCTTTACTAAAAATACAAAAAATTAGCCGGGCATGGTAGCACGCACCTGTAATCCCAGCTACTGGGGAGGCTGAGGCAGGAGAATTGCTTGAACCTGGGAGACAGAGGTTGCAGTGAGCCCAGATCACGCCATTGCACTCTAGCCTGGGCGACAGAGCTAGACCCTGTCTCAGGAGAAAAAAAAAAAAAAAAGAAAAGAAAAGAAAAGAAATGCACCTTTGACAACTTCACTCTTCCCTGACCACCCAGTACTCTTAGAATAAAAACAAATCTTTATGAAGTCTTCAGGGCTCGGCCAGCCCCTCTAGCTCTCTTCCCCCGGCCATAATGGTCTTGGGCTCCCCTCACACCACTCACCACGCTACCCACCTCTTCCCAAGCACAACCCACTGTGGCACTCTGTCTCCCACCACCCTTCCTAGCTCACTGAAACACTGCCTCGTAAGGAAGACCGTCCCTCTCCCTGAGTACACAAGGCCTGGGCTGAGTTCTTTCTCCCCTAGTCTCTTCCACAGTTTGTATTGGAGATGTTGAGATTATGTAATTCACGTGCATCCCACTGTGTGTACTCTGAGCCAGATGAGGGTAGGGCCACATATGTTTTGCTAACACTGTGATCCTGAGCCCAGCACTGTACCTGAAACTAGTAGGTGCTCAAGAAATCCTTGTTGGAAGAATGAATGGATGAACTCTGTTCCTCAACCACAGTCTTCAGCCTGACTTTCTCATAGAAGTGAGTTCAATTTATTTCATTTCTACCTTTGTAACCAATTTATCTCATTATCCTCTCTTTTTCAGAAGAAACCAGAAGCAAGATGAATTGCTCCAGACGGCTTTACGTTTGTGACAGGTGGAATTGGACTCAGACTCCAAACTTCAGCTACACATCCGGCAATGGTACAGGAGCTCAGTTCTGTGGAAATGAGGGGTTTTACGAGTCCACATCTAAGGGGACTGGCCTCAGAAGCAAAGAAAAGATGGAAATGGGTGTCACTTCCATTTCCATTCTGGGGACACTGTATTCACTAATGGCTTTTAGTTGTTGTTGATAATTATTTATTAACAACTATTGATATTTCTTTGTCCTTAAAAATTTCCTTTCCTATGTAAAAGCACATAACGTAAATGTTAAAGACAACCTGACTTGAGTGAGCTGTAGGAGAACTTCAGGTTTTTTTCCTACGTTACGTAACAACAACAACAATGAAACCTGTAAAAAAGAAAGGTTGACTTGTTTTCCAGTAGGCAAAAATGAATGAGGTTGGTGTTATTGATCATGTACCTAATATAAAAATCTGTGGATCCCAGGAAAGAATATTCAAGGCCTTAATGACAGTTAACATAAAATCCCCTTTGGCACCAATTTTGTAGACTGTGGTTCTATAAAGAAACTCCAAAAGGATCGCCCTTAGTTCTTAAAAGGCAAGGAGGCAGCTAATATATGCCAATATGGTTGGCTTTTCCTTGTTTAAGATGAGGTCTTGTCCAATGCCAGAAAGATTTTTTTTATATAAGATAAAGTCTTACTCTGTCCCTGGAGGTGGAGTGCAGTGGTGTGATTGTAGCTCACCACAGCCTCAACCTCCCAGGCTCAAGCAATCCTCCCACCTCAGACTCCTGAGTAGCTGGGACCACAGGCATGTACCACCATGCTCGGTTAATTTGTTTTTTGTTTGTTTGGTTTGTTTGTTTGTTTGTTTGTTTTGTAGAAATGGGGGTCTCTCTATATTGCCCAGGCTGGTCTTGAACTCCTGGGGTCAAGCGATCCTCCTGCCTGGCCTCAAAAACTGCTAGGATTACAGGCGTGAGCCATCATGCCTGGTCTGAACGATTCAATTGTGGCTAAATTTAAAAAGCAAGGTTTTTCTTTAGGCACTTTAAATAACTGTAAGATTTTCTTTTTACTATTTTTCTTATGAATGAATCACATTATTAGGTTTTCTTGTGCATCGAAAAGATGAGTAAGAAATGGTTTGGGTGTGGAGGGGCTGAGGGTGGGCAGTGCTGGAGGGCAACTCTGGGTCCTGGTGCCCATGGGGACGTGGCCAGAAACATCTCCCCCAGACTCCCCACTATTCGAGTGTGTCTAGGCCCTGAGTGTCACTGGCTAAGACACTGGTACAGGGCAGCAACGGGGGTTACCAAGGCAGCTGTAAAACACGGAAACCAACAGGCTGCCTCCAGCTGCTGGGGCATGTCTCTTTGGTTCCAGGTCAGGAAGCTCTCGGTAAGTCCCTGCTGAGCAGTTGGTGCAAAGGCTGGGTCCCAGACAAGAGAACTGAGTGAGGTCATCTTCCTGCCGCCTCGGGGTGGATTGATGGGGAGACCAAATGCAGTGGCAGGAAGATTTGCAGCCTGGGATAGGGAGGCCCCTGGCGGCCTCTGTGCGGGGGTCAGTAGGCTGTGGCCCACAGGCCCCCTCCAGCCTCCACCTGTTATTGAGAATAACGTTTTATGTCTCTCTCATTCATTAATGTCTTGTCAATGGCAGCTTTCACGCGCAATGGCAGAGCTGCATAGTTGGAACAGAGACCTGGCTTCCCGCAGAATCTAAAATAGTTACTATCTGTCCCTTTACAGGAAAAGTTTGCCAACCCCTGCTCTATGTAGCCTTTACGCAAAGTACTGCATTTGTTTTGTTAGTAAGACCAATTGCCCAGTGCATCAGCGCAGACCTGGTAACTGAGGTTGACTAAGGTGATTTAGCCCATTTCAAAATAAAATCGTTTCCGTGTGGCAAAACCCAGCATCAACCGGAGGCAAATGGTGAAATGAAAAAGAAATTGCATCCCATGTTATATAGGGCCATTCCTCTCATATGTTTTTGTTTTTGTTTTTGGAGACAGGGTCTTGCTGGAGTACAGTGGTACGATCATGGCCTATTGCAACCTCAACCTCCTGGGCTCAAGTGATCCTCCCATCTCAGCCTCTCCAGTAGCTGGGACCACAAGCACATGCCACCATGCCTGGATAAGTTTATATATATGTATATATTTTTATATATGTGTATATTTATGTTTATACATATGTTTACATATGTTTTTATATATATATTTAAGTTTATATATATATATATATTTTTTTTTTAAGAGACTGGGTTTCACCATGTTACCCAGGTTGGTCTCAAACTCCTGAGCTCAAGTTATCTGCCCGCCTCCACCTCCCAAAGTGCTAGGATTACAGGTGTGAACCACCGTACCTGACCTCCTCATATATGTTAAAAGCCCTTGAAAATCGTCAAAAAGAGTGCCAAATCCCATGGGAAAACAAGAAAAAGATACAATAGGCAGCTTACAGAAAAGGAAATACAAATGGCTCTTAAATATATTTTAAAATGCTCAATCTTATTCACAATGAAAGAAGTGTTAAAAAGAAAGCTACAGGACACGGCACTTCTAGCTGCCAAATCAGAAAAGAGCTGAAAGTTGAATAATAAACCTTTTAGGTCAACCAGAACTTTCAGATTGCTTGTAACACCCTAGTGAGGGCATATTTACAGTCTCGAAGATTACAGAGCTACATGCTTTCTGACGCCACAATTCTGCTCCTAGCAATTTATCTTACAGATATGTCTGCGTACCTGCGAGACAGTGTTACAACATATTCCTTCACCTAGCAATTCCACCCCTAAGAATTTATTTTACAGATATGCTGGTATATTTGCAAACTGAGTATGTGTAAAGTTATGGATTATAACAGCCAGTATCTGTAACTAATCTTGTATGTTGTCAGTAGGAGACTAATTAAGTAAATTTGTCTTGTTTTTTTTTTTTTTTTGAGACAGTCTCACTCTTGTCACTCAGGCTGGGAGTGCAATGGCACAGTCTTGGCTCACTGCCTGCAATCTCCACCTCCCAGGTTCAAGCGATTCTCCTGCCTCAGCCTCTGAAGTAGTTGGGATTATAGGCGTGTGCCACCACGCCCAGCAAATTTTTGTATTTTCAATAGAGATGGGGTTTTACCATATTGGCTAGACTGGTCTCGAACTCCTGACCTCAAGTGATCTGCCCTCCGGGGCCTTCCAAAGTCCTGGGATTACAGGCATGAATCACTGTGCCTGGCCCGACAAGGGAGTTTTTGGCACTCATTTAAAATTTCTCTTAAAGTCATGAGTAATACCTTGTTCATACCCTTTCAGGTCATGGAATTGATTCTATCAATGAATCAATTTATAGGTTCCTCTTACTATGCTCTTCTGAATTTCTTTTCTTTTCTTTTCTTTTCTTTTTTTGTTTTTTTTTTTGAGACAGTCTCGCTCTCTCGCCCAGGATGGAGTGCACGGGTGTGATCTCAGCTCACTGCAGGTGCAGCTTCTGCCTCCCAGGCTCAAGTGATTCTCCTGCCTCAGCTTCCTGAGTAGCTCAGACTACAGGCGCCCGCCACCATGCCCAGCTAATTTTTGTGTTTTTAGTAGAGACAGGGTTTCACTATGTTGGCCAGGCTGGTCTTGAACTCCTGACCTCAAATGATCTGCCCGCCTCGGCCTCCCAAAATGCTGGGATTACAGGCATGAACCACCGTGC